GCTATCAGAGTTACATGCTGACATTATATTTAGCAACATGGACCATACGTGCTTTTCTGCACGCAGTATTACAATGTATAGGCTGTTTTGAATTTTGCTCTTTCACATAACACTGAGAAGTTTGGCATCTTAGAAGACTTCTTCACATGTACTCTATAAATGGACGTTGAAGTCATTTCCAGTTTAGAAAAAAAATTTTTCCCCTAAATAATGCAGTATTGTTTAATCTTGGACACATGCCAGGGAGCATACGTGTAGGATAATTTGACAGTGATATTGCTGGGCCCATTTTGATAGTGCTAAACTATCCTCCACGAAAAGATAGATCTATTGAATTTTAGCAACAGTGTTCCTCTGTTTAGCTTTGAACACCCACCCCCATGTGTCTCATTAGTGATTCCCATCAGAAAGACAGCTCCCTTCCACCACCACGGGGGAGGGCGGGGGGGGGCAGGGTGAACAACTCACAGACATTTTCTCTTCTCTGTTTATTGAAAGACTGGAGGAACATAAATATGTTTTGCCTATATAAAGTTAACGACCTGTGGTAAAGAATGTCGATTTTTAAGCAGCCTTCCCTGTCATTTGGCCGGGAAACAGTGAGGCAGTATGCTGGACACCTGGCTCGGGCTGGGATTCCGGGAAGAGGTGGGCCTTAACGGGCTGTGCTAGCAGAGCTGGCCCCGGGCCTCTCACTCAATGTACACTCCACTATGTTCGTACTTGGCTGGTTCTTCTATGCTGGGGAGGACTTGGGGCTGGGAGATGGGGATGTGCTGGTCTGTCCTGCAGTTTGATGTCCCTGCTTGGACTTCTGGATGCATCTGGAACTTCCTTTGAGTACAGAGCCATGCCAGTATAGGTTTCCATGACCTTTTCTACACTTTTTGGTGCTCTGGTCACCTTTTAGTATGGTGCTAGTTCTAGAAATTCTATCATGAGACCTTCCTTGCCTCTCTCCTTGTTCCCTGGTGGATCTCACGTGATACTCCCTTAGAATTTTGATCACAGCCATATTAAATAATCTATCATTTTGCTTCTCTGTTTCCCCAACACCAGGCGGAAAGCTAATTATCTTAAGGACAATAGTAATTGTGATAATATGTGCTTCTGTATGCTAGGCACATTAGTGTCACACGAGAACTCAGACCTCACAATGGTATCTCCATCTCTGGCAACTTCTTGAACATTCTACTGGTTTTCAATTTAGATCTCTGTTCTCTAACTTATCCATGAGTTTTGAGGGAAAACAACAACAAAAAGAAGACGCTATTGCTTTGAATCATGACATCCCTTAGCAAGAACATTCATCACATTCTTCTATTAAGATCCGAAATGATGAGATAATAACACGACCGTTTTCTCATTTAGTCTGTCGTCAAGACTGCTAACTCTAGCTTCTCATTCCCTCAGTTTAAGTTAGAACACTCTATGCCCATCCACTGGAGTAGAATAGCAGTCCAATTTTCCCTGCAAGGCTAGTACTGTTAATGACTTCCCCCAGATGCTATGATAATTCTCTTAAATTCTTTGATGAATGGATAAGTATGATTAGATTGAACTGGATTCAAATCCTTCCCAGCAATTTACCAGTCTCGAAATCGTGGGCCGGGTTTCTCAGACTTTCAAAGTCTCGGATGTCTTATTGGTAAATATAAAGATATAGACAGAGTCTGGCACAAAATGATCAGCAAAGTTTTGCTGTTATTCATTCTTGTCATCGTTATGAAATGTTGGGTGGACAGAGGAGACACAGTAGGAGATATGGTAGGGGAGTGCATCTGTTGAAGTGTGCCTAAGGGACAGAAGGCACAATGGAAGGAGGGAGAGGTTTCTGTAGGAAGGCAGACGAGAGACACAGTGACTACACTGACTTGTGATGAATGAATAGGATTTTTTTTAGAGGTAGACACAGTGTAAAAGGATACATTTGATTATGGTAGGAGACTTATGTGAAGACACGGAGGAAAAAAACTGCCTGGTATATTTGATGAGTAGTGGTTGGTCAGATCATGAAGTGTTGGAGAATGGACAACGAGGAGGGCAAGAGAGAAGATTCTAGAGGAAGGCAAGGGCCAGATTCTGAAGGGTTTTTGTGTGACAAGTTCTGTGTGCCAATCTAAAGAGGTTGGATTTAGTATCAGTAACACATTTTAAGAAGAGGAGAGATGCCAATCAGGTTTTCATTTTAGACGAATCACGTTGGCAGGTGTGCCAGCGGGGAACTAGAGAAGCTGTGACGGTGGAGACCTGGGAGCCAATCAGGAAGCAGAGGTCCAGGTTGGGGGGGGCGACTGAGCTAAGGAAAGGGTGGTAGCCATGGGAGAGGACCAGGGACTTAAGAGGGGCTTGGGAGGTGAAAATGAAAAGACACTTGTGCGTGGAAGGTCGGAGTGGTTGGCGGTGGCCAAGACAGGGTACGGAAGGAGGCGGAGAATGCGGCTGGGTCGGTTTGCAGCGTGGGAAAGAGGAGGAGGAGATAGGTGATGAATTTAACCTAGACTTTGTTGAGTATGATGTGTCTGTTACCTTCGTAAAGGAAAACAGAGGTCACGATTAACTTTACAGGTGGGGTGGGGTGGGGTGGGGGTTCAGAGGCAAGGGTTGGAGCTGCACACATGGGAGCCTGGAGGAGAAAGACTCCATAGTTAATAACCACGGAAACACTGCTTCCTTGGCCTCTACTTTTAACGTTCGAGCGTGGAAAGTACTCAGATGAGGGAGGCCCCTCAAGGCATTACTCTTCCGGTTATCCGTTGCCCAGAGCATCAGGGGGCGGTCTGCCATTTTATACCCTTTGCAACAGGTGGCGCTGGGGCCTGGCAGGGAGAAGGTGCAGCCCATGCTGGGCCAGGGGGAGGTGGAGACACTCTAGTCAGGCTTGGCCTTGTAGACCCTGAGAACAGGGCTGGGGAGACCACGTGCCTCTGGTCTCAGGAAGTGTACGTGCACCCTCCCTCCCCGGGGCATCTTGGGAGGGGGTGTCCCTGTACCCCCCCCCCCCGCATCCCTGTGCTGCGGCTGCACAGCACAAAGCCAGCCGCAGCCCCTCCTGAGCCTCTCGTGTTAAGCGGGAGTGGCCAGACTCCTGGTGCGTGGTGCAGGGAATTGCTAAATGAAGGATGCCAGGCGAGGCCTGGGCAGCCAGGGAGAGCATGCTGCTGGGGACAACGAGCCCTGAGACACAAGTGCTGGCGTGCTTGCCTGGGGCTCCTGCAGGGCCAGGGGCAGCACAGCGGAGGAAGGAGTAAAGTTAAGAGCAACCCCAAAACACCTGCCCCGGGCGGGGTCTGCTCCCTGGAGCTGGAGGAAAACACAGCAGAAGAGAAGGAGCAAGGCCCAACAGCGTGAACGCAGCCACAGCCGCAGCCTCCCTTCCCAGGCAGCTGGGAAAGGAGCGCCAGCCAGCTCGCTCTGGAAAGTAGCTGCTCCTTAGAGGGCCTGTGGCGAGCAGCAAATGAGATAATGTGTGTGAGAAGGGTAAAGAGCTGTGAAAATGCAAGATGCTATTAGTTAATTAGAATCCTTCAAGCCTGGTGATGTTCGAGTGGCTAAGATGGCCTCTACCGGCGAGCAGAGGGCTTCGGTGGTTCCGGGTTTGGGATGATGGAAGGCGGGGAGTACAGGGCGTGCGAGGATTGTTTAGGGACACACTGTGACACTGCAGTGTCATCTACCTGCTTCTTACTGCATTATTCGGCTTTGATATTATTCCCTCCTCTGCCACTCATTTTTGGAGCTCTCTGCTGCGTTTTTTAACCTCAAAAAGAGTCTGAAAAGGAAGGAGGACATCACTTAAGAATACATTAGATACATTTGGTCGAGAGAGAGAGAGAGAGAGAGAGAGAGAGAGAGAGAGAGAGAGAGAGAGAGAGAGAGAGAGAGAGAGAGAGAGAGAGAGAGAGAGAGGGGGGGGGATGGCCAGAGGCAAAACAAACTGACGGAATTATCAGTAAACTCACAGCTTCTCCCGCACCTAATGTATCTAATATATTCCTAAGCGAGTCTGGGGCTCAGAATGCTGACTGGGAAAGACTGAGGGGTAGATTGTACCCTGGACACAGGGATCTGTTTGGCCAAGCCCGCACCTTTCTGTGCCACTGACTGGTAAAAGCCTTCAAAGGCCATTCATTGAGCTAAAGACCAGGACCTTACCCACGGGCTGCCAGCTCGCCCAGTCCCTAGTGACAGGAGGCATGTCAGGAGCCACGCAACCCTCCTAGCAGGGTTGGACTGTTGGAAAATTCTTTACGCTGAATGGATTTCTGTTTCTGTGCCGTTTGTGCTCATTGGAGCCATATGGGATAAAATGTCTAAAGCCGCTTCCACAAATATTTGAAGACTGCGGACACATTTCCGCCTTCCCCTCACTCCACAAGGCTCCTTTTCTTTAGACTAAACATGCCCAGTTATTTCACACAGCGAGGCAGTGTGGGGCAGTGGAAAGAACGCCAGCTCTGCAGCCAGACACATCTGGGTTCAGCCCGCGGCTCCCCGGCGTTAGCACACAGTCCCTCGAGCTGCAGGATCTTTCTCAGGGATGGATGGAAATTCTCCCCTAGCCGGTTCCTGTGATACTTACGCTCATAGTAGGAACTCCAGCTAGGCTGGTTGCTCCGGAGTCCCACGATTTACAGAGCATTTTAGTTTTATCCCTATTACACTGGAATAGATTTATTACATTAAATGTCTCTTAACACCTACTCTGTAAAGCAGAATAAAATAGTCTCAGTGGGGTTTGATGAGCAAAATAACACAGGATCATCAGGTTATTCTGGGTTATATCTCCATAACTTCAGACATACTAGCTTTTTTTTTCTAACCCCACCCCCCAAAGAAACCCCAAACCCATCTCTCGCAGACCCACTGAAACCTTTTTAAAAAATCAAGCCCTAATCTCCTTTAACCAAGTATTATTGTTCCAATGCATTTATCTCATCCTCACTTTTTTTAGTTTATTCAAATTTGTAACTATGGCTTTAGAAAGTGGCTCTGACCTGTTGTCTGTAAGCATTCTTGTATTTGTCTTATTATTACAGCGCTTAAAATGGGGTTAGAAACATAATGTTGTTGAACCTACAGTAGAAGCCGCGCTGGTTTCTTACTGTTTGCTGTTATGAGACCGTAAATGGAGACGTTTCTACGCTGATTTCCGCACAAATATGAGGTGCTATTTTACAGCGTGAACCCATGTTAGAAAAGGAATGTGAAGGGAGTGTCCGACAAGCCGCTGGCCGAGGGAACTCTGCTGTGGGTCACGTCCGCCAAGATAGCCTGTTTGGAAGAAGGGGGGTGCCGGCAGCAAACCCGGTAGCCGACTCTTCATGTATGAAGTTTCATGTTTTCTCAGGTACTCCAGGGGCTTTTAGAATGTAGGTCAGATTCTCCCCGCCGTGGAGGAGGCTCAGAAGTAAACCGGCCCAGGCTGGAAGATTCCCCCTCTCTCTGGACGTTAGGAAGCCTTCCCCAGCCCTCGCCGATCCTCGCGGCGCGCCTGTTTCTCGGCTCCTTGCCTTTGTGTCGGAGCTGCAACCAGCTTTCTCTGTCTAACCAAGTTCTGCGTCCCTTTACCACCCAAGTTAGTGCTAGTCATCCCGAGCAGGAAGGATTCCCCTGGGCCTGGCCTGGAATTGCTTCTGCGGCTCAGCGCTTTCACTGACTGTCCCCCCTCGGGGGATTAAACAACGTGCCCGCCCCACGACCCTCTGGTTCCATGTGGGTAGACTGTTCCCCGGTCTTCAGAATGGGTTCCTTTGTGGGGCACTCGGTCCATTAATTAGAAAATCGCCTTCATCTTAGAGGCTGGTGCTTCGGCCTAATGAGAAAGAAAGTGGAATTGTTTGCAAGGTTTAAAGGTTTCATTGACAGCAAATATGAGAAACATATATAACGCAGAAGCTTTCCGCAAAGGCGATTGTTAAAAATCAGAATGCCTTTACTCTACAGGGAACACTAGTTCAAATTTTGCTAAGCGGTTTGGCATTTAAAGGGTTTGGTGGTTAGTTGGTGTAGGTAGGTACTCTCCTGCTTGTATTGCGGCCCTACAGGGTTTTAAATACATCTGCAGCTTCTCACTTAGAACACATTCCACATTCCTCCCGAGGAACTATTCTTTCTGGTCTCCCCCTCCCCCGCCCTCCAATCAGTGCTGGCGCCCAAAGGAAACACTTTTTCTTTTTTTTTTTTTTTAACCAAAGGTTATTCGGTCTGGAGCCCCCAGTGCTTTGCGAAAGCCGTCCCCTCGGGCTGGAATGTTCTTTGTCTCTGGTAAATGTCTATTCATCACTCAAGACAACCCCTTCCTCCTCCCTTAATTACTTCCTCCGCTGAGCGCCCTCCAAGTCTTGAACTTATTCATGCGGTGTCTGTTAGGGGTCTGGGATACAAAAGGTGAATGAGACATGAGTTCAGACTGTGAGGGTCTTAGGCTGGGAAACCGGGGGCCGACCTGTTGGCAAATGTTCTGAAATAACAAAGAAAATGTGTAAAGTTCCATCCTTCACTCACTCCATAACCCCGTGTGTCGCCCCGCGAGGTTCTGAACGAGCGTTTATTTCATGCCATCCCCGAAGAAGGATACCCTGGACCGTCGCCGCGTTAGGCGCTCTGATGACCCTCTCTCAGGTGCTGGCACTCTTAGTGTCTGCTGGGTGGCTCCCAACGCCGGGTGCGCGGTTAGATGGCCACAGGTTAGATGGCCACAGGTTAGATGCCCACGGGTTCGGCTGACCCGCTGCGGTCCTCTGGCCGAGTCTTTCTCGCCTGCACGGCTGGGTTTGCTTGCGGCAAAGCCCGAACGCTGTGAACCAGGTGCGTAAGAGAGGCCTGCAGCGCCCCCGCTGGGCCAGCCCACGCTGTGCGCTGTGTCCCCAGCTCGCTCCTGAGCTGGAAGAATTTCAGCGTTCAGCTCCAAACAGCATGCGGGCAGCACGATGCTCCGCACTTTGGGAAGGGGTGTGAGAGATGCCTTTGAAAGGACTATGGATTTTAAAAAACGTCCAGTTTTGCCCGTACCTCTAGGGTGTTGGCATTGCAGTTGTGTTGTGTGTAAATAAAGGAGGCATGTGCCCCTGATGAACGGTCCCCAGCACTGCAGCAGCTTCTGGCATGCAGGCCACGTCGCGCTGCTGCAGGGGAAGCATCCCGGTGCCACCGTGGTGATGGTGGAATCTCGGGCCTGCTTTATGCGGTCGCGGCCCTTCCATGGATGTATCCACTTAGCCCACTGGGGGATTCAGCAGAACTTGTCCATTCCCTAGTCATTTAGTGTGTCCTTCCTTCATTGTTACCATGGGTTAAAGGCTCGGTGTTGCCGCGCTCTGGTAGCTGGCATTTTCGGTTGCGTAGTCACTCCCAGGACTCAGCACCCATTTAGGATGCAGAAAGAAAGTGGGTGCCACAATGAGGCCCCTAATCCTGAGGACCAGGGCTGGGGAGCTGTGCGTGGTCCAAAGGAAGGGTGTGTGTGTGGGGGGGGTGGGGGAATCTCAGATATTTGTCATCTTTGCTTGAGGCGTTATCACCTGGGAAAAGGGTTTCTTCAACAAAATGTGGGGTTCAGGATTAGAGATCTGCAAAGAAAGAGGGGGTTGATTTCCCCAGGAGGCGCCCGCGAGCGAGGCCCCCCTTCTCTGCAGAGGTGGGGCGGGGCTCTGCGGCGGGAGCGAGAGGGCGGGACACTGCAGCATGGTGGGCGGGCCGGGGCGGGGCTCGGTGGGCTCTAAAAGCCGGTGCCCGCTCGCTCCGCTCTGCCGCGGCCACCAGCACATCCCGGTGCATCTTCGCAGGCGGAGCAGCCCTCCTCTGCGGCAGCCGGCGCAGTGCCGCAGGCTCGCCCGAGAGGCTGCTCGCTGCCGCGGGCCGCCCTGCGCGGACCGTGGGCTGCGCCGACGCCACCTCCGATCCTGTACGGTTGTGGGCGCCTCGGCGCGCCCCGTGATCCGCAATCCTGCGGCGCGCGGCATGGGATAATGCGGCCATGGTGCGCCGAGACCGCTTGCGCAGGTGGGTGCTGCGGCCGTGCCGCGAGGGGGGTGTGGCTGGCCCGACTCCGTGTGGGTGCCGCTGCCACCCCGGAGCTGCCCGTGGCAAAATCCTCACCAAAAGGTGGCCGTGCTGCCCCCCGGGCTGAAAGGTAGTCGCTCGGCCCGAACGCGGTCGGGATCGCCCTCGCTGGTGATTTTTAAAAATCACCGGGGTCCGTTGCGCGAGATTTAGGCATTTTAGGATCTCTGTATTAGTAACCCTGGTGAAAATTAGGGGTTTTCGTCAGGGTCTTTGCTGTGGTGTGATTTAGGAGGTGGTGGTGGCGTAATTTAGGGTCCGTGAACCTCGGTAACGCCCGGTGCGTCCTAAGATTTGTAGAGCTGGTCATTGTTGTGGCGTGACTTAGGATTTTTAGACCCTGGTGTGTGATTTAGGATTCGAGGAGCCGAGATTGCCGCGGATCTGGCATCACAGTGGCGTAGTTACCGCATAGGTGTGACTGGACCTTGGCCGTGCTGCGTGACCGCGGCAGTAAGTGTTGTTCCGAAGCCAGAAATGGGAGCCCCCGGGAGCCCGGGGACATCGGCCAGACTGTTAAAGTGTTATGAGACATGTTTGCTTCGGTTTCTGGGTTCACAACGTAGTTCTCGCTGAGAAGTGGTCGGTGGGCTGCTTTGGTGGTATCAGATAAATGCGTCTTTCCACCATTTACAGAAATAAGAAATCAAGGCACGTAAAGTTTGTTACGGGGGTGTGCTGAATTTTTAATCTAAATCATGGCGCCATCAAATAATGGGGATTTGACTTAAAAAATATTTGTTTAAACCTTTCGCCTGATTGCCAGATTGCTTGACTCCTAAAAATCGTAAAAATGTTGGGGGGGTATTTTTACCAAGGTAACTGAGACTGAAAACGGCTCCCTGGGGGGTTGGCCCCCCTTTCCTGAGTGGAGGAGGTGCACCGACGTAGGTGCGGAGAGCGTGGGTGTGGCATCTCTGTTCCCCAGCGAGCAGGCGAGCGAGCGAGCGAGCGAGCGGGAAGCCCGTTAGCTCTGCTGTAGGCGCCCCTCCCGGTGTTCTGCTGAGTCACTGCAGATTCAGTCTGAGACCTGCCATGGATGCCCCAGAGGCTACGTGAAAATGTGTGAACAGGTAACGGGACCGAATGGGTTCTGAGGAAAACAGCCAGCCAATCAAAAACGAACAATAAAACAAACAAACAGACAAACCCCTAAACCTAACGCTTTTGTTATTTGCCTTTCAAGGAGGTTCGGCGGTAGAGCCCGTTAGCGGATCACAGACTGCGATAAAACCATCATGTCCTGGCAGTTTTCCAGCCATTTCTAGTATTGCCTTGAAAGGTAGACCCAAACTATTGTGACTGTTCATCGCACAGAGACTTTGAGGGGTGAAAAAAAAAAAAGAGTCTAAGCGCAGTCTAAAGTTCAGGCAGGGAGTCTAGGTTTCCCGAGAGGGACGATTTTTTCACCCACCACGTCAGGTTTATTGTTAGAGTTAACCGCCCACCCCCTCCCCACCAAGCCAGGTAATGCGCCCTAGGGCGCTCTTACGTTGATCCAACAAGCCCACGCCCCGCCAGGACTCTAGCAATCAACTGTTTCACATGCATCCATCTTCGTGACATCTCTAGTTTTAGTTTAGGAGGCACGCTCCCATTTTGTTTAGAGAACCCTTTCCTTGGTGACCATGGCAAGTCACAAATAGACAGAGGAAGTGGTTTGTAATGTTGCTTTAATTCTTGTCTCCAGTGTTGATAAATTGATCTGGACCGTATAAATCCTGGCTTGGCAAGCTGGGGGCACAAATTCGTGCTTCCTTTGAACAGACAAAAGCAAGTCCTAAATGATAGGTGTGTGGGCGGGGTCTTAATTTTAAAAAGGGAACCGCCCCAAGAGTGGGCTAAGAGAGCAGAAATACAATCTGCTGCCTAGACTTCTAAGAGATTAGACATTCAGGGTCAGGGCAAAGCTGCTTACTGGGATGTGAGTGCCGTGGCTGCCTTGCTTTCAGTGTCCCTCGTCAGTCTCTTGGCCCAAATCCAGACAGTAGTGCCAAACAGGGCTTCACCTGGCCACAGGGTGTGTACTTAAAGGCCAGGCGCAGTCTCTGCTTCAGGACACGTAATGCATTGCATATATGCTCGAAGATCACATATGGAAAGCACGGTGGTGAGCGGGTACGGTGACCAAAGGGTACACACGTCATACTTTCTTGGTAAACTTTTCTGCCATGGCCACACGGGGGTGGAAATCAACAGATTTACCTCACAGTGCCCAAGTTTCCCACCCATGTTGCGTTTTTACTTTTGGAAGTGTACAGTGTTACCTTGACTGCTTCTCCCACAGGATGAGGGAGTGGTGGGTCCAAGTGGGGCTGCTGGCCGTCCCCTTGCTGGCTGCATACCTGCACATCCCACCTCCCCAGCTCTCCCCTGCTCTGCACTCATGGAAGACTTCTGGCAAGTTCTTCACCTACAAGGGACTGCGCATCTTCTACCAAGGTGAGAACAGCTCTATTGGAGAATCCTAAGGTCATATAGGTACCAGCTGAGGTACTTATTTTGTGTCCCTTGGTCTCTGTTGCTCCACAGTAACTGAGGGGAGTAATCCCATTCATATAAGGTGTACCTGAAATAATGGACCAATTCCCTCCAGTCTCCTGAGAACAGGCGACTCAGCAATAGAGGGAGGGGTGGGGTGGGGTGGGGCGCTGGGGTGAAGGTGGGGTGGAATTGTACCTGATGAAGGAAGTTTCTTCCAGTCCCATTTGTATTTGACACTAGTTTTCTCTTGAACGCCCCGAGTGTTAGGTAACATGTATGATATTTAGAGATTTATATATACCTTTGGTCCTCCAACCCCCGCCCATGCCATATGTCATTTTATTATTTTCCATGGTTTGTTATATATATCTAAACCTGATAAGATTTACTGGGAATTAATATGACTGTTAATTACGTTCAAGACATTCTGTTATATTTTAACCTTTATTATCTTCATTTTTCACTTAATCTTTACAACAGCACTTGGAGATAGGTGTCACTAATCTCACTTTATAGGTGAAGACACTGACAAACAGATTGGAAAAGATTTCTTTTGGGCGGGGGTCAAGAGCAATAACGAAAAATGTTTGTTTTTCGTAAACCGTTTTTCATTATTGCTCCTGACCCCCTCTCATTTGTTATACTCAGTCAAGTAAGTATGAAATTTTCTTTATGTTGGCTTGTTAGCGCTTTCCCAGAATTAATATTTAGTGTTATATATTATTTGTGTAGATTCTTCAGTACATATTTTTAACTGCTTCTAATTAAATAATTTTTGAACTTATTAGCAAAATTTTATGCCACTGGCAGTATTAATTTAAATCCAGTACTGTGGCAAGGTATTCTATTGTTTGAATAATTTGATATCACATATAGAAAAAAGTTGGAGCCTCTAATAGCCTGTTTTTGTAACTGATAGAATTTTGTGAGTTTCTTTTTGAGTTGGGTATGATCTGCTAGTACTGGACAAGTAGTATGTAAGAAATGTCAGATCGTAGAGAAATGTTAGAGTAGTGATACGGTATAGAGAATCTTTGGTTTGTTGTGATTATAGCATTTTAATTGTTTTTTTAATTTAACTGGTTTACTTTTTACTAAATGAAAAATAAGTTGCATCTTAATAACTAAAATATGGGATTGTCTCTCTAAAAAATCTAAGTGATATTAATGAGCAAACTGTTTTGAGAATTTTCATGTAAAGTATGTCATTTACAATTTAAAATACAGGTTAAGAGGAAGTCCCTCATCTAAAGTATTGTGTACTTGCATTTTAAAGTCATTAATTTGATCTGATCCTTTTTACTGAATTAGATTTTGGTGACTTCAGTGCTACTTTGCAGGGAGTTTGACTGATTTCTCTTTCTCCTCTTCTAGACTCCCTGGGTGTGGTTGGAAGCCCCGAGATAGTTGTGCTTCTACACGGCTTTCCAACATCCAGCTACGACTGGTACAAGGTAATGAAGTCTGGTTTCTAGGTCCTGCTATGTCCTAAGAAATACTCAAACTCTAGAATTTTTTTTGTTAGCCCTAGAAGACTCTTGCAGATTTAAACTGCTTGATAAAATCTCACTAAATGTAGAAATTGCTTTTCATGTACTGTAAGGGAATAAAAACATTGGCTGTCCAGAAAGGATCAATGCCAAGTTAAAGGCTGGAGTTATGCTCTCAGTGTAGTAAAAGCCATGCCTCAGTCTTTCCCAGGGGCTCACCCAGGCCTGTGGCGGTTTCATGAGATCTTTCACTCTATCCAAGCTGACATACAGGCATGAATTTCATGTGTGTGCTGCTGTGAGCAGGGCAGTGGCGTGTGGGGGCAGAGTGCACATCATGCTTGCTTTCTTACAGATCTGGGAAGGTCTGACCCTGAGGTTTCATCGAGTGATTGCCCTTGACTTCTTAGGCTTTGGCTTCAGTGACAAACCGGTAAGTGTAAGCGCGTTAGCTTGGTGGGCCCCAGTGATGGGCGGGATGCATATGAATGGAGGTCAGGCTCTGGTGACCTCATGCCGTGTCTGTGCTTCCTTTTCCTTAGCGACCACATCAGTATTCCATATTTGAGCAGGCCAGCATCGTGGAGTCTCTTCTGCGGCACCTGGGACTACAGAATCGCAGAATCAACCTGCTGTCTCACGACTATGGAGATATTGTTGCTCAGGAGCTGTTGTACAGGTCAGTGAGACCAGACTTCTGTCCCCAGCACAGGGGTCAGGAGCTTAAGACGACAGGAAACTGAATCATTTGGGGATCTTCACACCTTTGGGGGTTGTCCGCAGCCCCCTGCATGGGTGCCAGTTGTTCAGGGACATGTGTGTTTCTTCTTTCCCTGTTACAGGTACAAGCAGAATCGATCTGGACGGCTTACCATAAAGAGTCTCTGTCTATCAAATGGAGGTAATTGCCGTGGTGGTAGGTGGAAAGTGGGGTGTAGCCTAGGAAAGCCACCTTTTTAAGTCATAAAGACATCTATATGGTAATCTGCCATTATAAACAGACACTAGACATAGGGCATCTTTTACCTTTGTTGTGCCTTGAATAGTTTTTGATAGTTGATGGCATTTATGGGATATGTCTTCAAGCATACAGAAAATAAAATGAAGCCCGGTGGTGCCATGCCACACACCTTTAATCCCAGCACTTGGGAGGCAGAGGCAGGTGGATCTCTTGAGTTCAAGGCCAGCCTGGTCTATGTAATGAGTTTCAGGACAGCTAGGGCTACACAGAGAAACCTTGCCCCAAAACAAAAACAAAACAAACAAAAAGGTCTACCACAAATGTGATTGTGGTGACCTGGCTGGTAAGCTGCATTAGTAATCTCTTCTTTGGTGGTGGTGCCAGGTATCAGCTGGGAATGAATGAGTGTTAACTGGAATTTATTTTCCTGTCACTGAGGAGTTCAGTAATCCAGGAAATGCCCAAATGCCCCCACCTGAATGCCTTAATGGTGGCTTGAGAGAATAGTGGGTCTGTCCCTTTATCAGTGCAAAAGCAAAGAAGCCATTTTCTTTTACTAGAATCTACTGGCTGAAACACGCATGCATGTGTGTTTGCAGTCTCGTTCATTAACACCATGTGTGTTCAGAGCAGTGGGGATGTTAAAGGGAGTTTAGGCCCAGGCATCAATGCATATGGAAAATCACATGGATTACTTAATCCAATTGTGCCTTTGAGCCAAGCAAAGTAGTTCCAGTGTGCTGTAATTTGACTGTTAAACAGAATCTTTAGAAATTCAAAGTACAGTCATGCCTCAGCCAGATACACATGTATGCGGTGCCGTGTTGAGTATCAGTTGTTATGCAGTACATGGCTGACAGGTAATTAGTTTCTGGTAATGGTTGTGCTGTTGGTAAGTGACTAAGAAGTCTTTCTCTCCACAGGTATCTTCCCTGAAACCCACCGGCCTCTCCTTCTCCAAAAGGTTGGCAGCTTCATTGCTAGCTCCTCAGTTTAGATGTCTGTGACATTAAAACCCAACACACCTGGGGTCTTTGAAGGGCCACACCTGTGGTGATGACCCAGTCTACCGAAATCTTCTTTATCATGAATTCACATTATTCAAGTTAATTTTTCCCTCCTTAGTCAAATAAAGCAGGCTCTCCTACATAAAACCAAATACGTCTGAGACAAAAGAGATGAGTATTTAGAGAAATACAATTATATGAAGATGTGTGCCATAAGTATGATGTTTGAAAAGGTTGAGATCCTAGGCTAACCTTGGTTTCAGTTACACTTAGGGATCATACATTTACTTTTTCAGAAGCAGCTATGGCTAAGGTCCATTTTTATCTGGTGTCAGCTTTTTCTGGACCCTCGATTTTGACTTGCACTTCTTACCCGCAGCTCCTCAAAGATGGAGGCGTGCTTTCACCCATCCTCACGAGGCTCATGAACTTCTTTGTGTTCTCTCGAGGGTAAGTCACCAGCAAAGTCTATGAGCTGGGAACAGTGTAGTGAAACTTGCTGCTGTTATAGCCCTGGACCAAGGCTAGCCTGGGCTTGGAGGTTTTCTAGAGTTTCTGCATCTGCAAAGGGTCAGACAGTGTGGCCTTCTGAGGTCCCAGTTCTGCCTGGAGCCCTGACTCCTTCCATGCTGTCTTACCTTCCTGCGTTTGTGCTTTCAGTCTTACTCCAGTCTTCGGACCGTATACTCGGCCCTCCGAGAGTGAGCTGTGGGACATGTGGGCTGGCATCCGCAACAATGATGGGAACTTGGTCATTGACAGGTAAGATGGCAACCTTGCTCTAGGCCCAGTGAAGCTCTTGGAGTGAGGGGCAGGTGCAGGATCATGTCCTGCTGTTTGTTGGCTTACTCCCTGTCACAAGAAGGCTGCCTAGGGATGTTGAGACAAACCTAACAGTCCTGGTCTGTTTTCCAACAGAGATCAAACACAGGGTGAGCCTTATTCACAGAGAACACAGATAAATAGTTGCAAATCTTAGAGCTTATTTGCATGGAAATGACTCAGGGACTTTGACATAATACCCTTCTTTAGACATTTGGTTAATATTAAATGTTTCACAATGTTGCAGTCCTAGTTTTGAAAGGAGCCTAATATCTCTCCTGAGTACAAAGCTCCTTTGCCTGCTTCTCTAGCAGCAACAAAGTTTGAGGAGACACTTTAGGTGACACTTTAGCTGTTCCCTTGGAGAGATGGGAGATTGAATGTATACATCTTTTCTTGAGATTAGGCCTTACCTTTCCCCAGCTAGGTCTGTGAGTCCCAATACTCTTAACTGCTAGCTGGCTTTGCTGTGCGCTCCATATGAGAGGCATTCCTCCCTCCCTAGTCTAACCTACAGATCACACACACACACACACACACACACACACACACACACACACACACACACACACACACACACACACACACCCCTACCTACCTACCTACCTCTCAAACTGAAAAAAAAAATGCCCCTCTTTAAAAAAATATTCTTGGATTTTGCCTTATTAGCTGCCCCAGAGTTAGGGAAATAGTCAGAATGCCGCATGGGCTGTAGTATGGTTGTTGGCATCTTCCACTATAGGAAGAGTTCTCCACTCCATGGTCAGATGAAGTACAGTGATGAAGCCCTGATCCCATAAACTTCTACACTTGCATTTTTAGACGTGGCTATCAACTCAGAGATTATGTAGTTTGGTCTTGCTTTCAAATGAGGAACTCACAGAACTGGTTAGTAGTGGAGTCAAAACTGGATTCTTAGACCCACGTTTTAAGTCATGTACACTCCAAGTCAACTGTAATCCTTCTGAAGATCTCATTCCCTGCTTAATGAATGCAAAGAACCATTGGAGCTTATGTTGGTAGTCACTGATGTGTCCACACGGCACTTTCCTGTGGCTGAGCTTATGTTGGTGGTCACTGATGTGTCCACACGGCACTTTCCTGTGGCTCTGTGGCCTTTGAAATTGCATGATAAGAAATAGTTCTTGCTCTGCTCCGGCTGACTCACCTGTGCTGTAGTCTTTTACAGTACATCAATCAAAGGAAGAAATTCAGAAGACGTTGGGTGGGAGCACTTGCTTCTGTGTCCATCCCCAGTGAGTATCTGTGTAGTTTTCTGTCACTTCTTGACAGGGGCCCTTGGGGAATAGTGACTTAACATAATTACCACTCATAAAGTCTCCATGCAGGGTTGCCAGGGTTAGCAAATTAAAACATTCACCCAAGTCGATCTGAGTCTCACATGAAAACAGCTACCTTTAGTGTGTGCTATATGATGCTTAGGACATACTTTCTTTTTTAACCGTTTCCCCCACATTGAAAAAAAAAACAACCCCAAACTTTTCACCTGTTTTTTTTTTTATTTTCCTTCAAGACAGGGCTTCTCTGTATAGCCCTGGCTGTCCTGGAACTCCCTCTGTAGACCAGGCTGTCCTTAAAGTCTCAGAGATCTACCTGCCTCTGCCTCCCTAGTGCCAGGATTAAAGGCGTGTGCCACCAATGCCCAGCTAACTGCCCATTCTTTATTCACTGGCATCCCTATTCCAAACCCCTGGAATGCCAGAGTAAGGGTGTAAGACACGGAGGCGCCACTACAGATGGAGCTAGTATGGCTTGCCTGCCATGGTAAATACGAACTCTTGGGACAGGAAGCTACTAAGGTCATTAACGTTCCTCACATGCTAGTGATCAAGATGTCAGAAGGCTTCAAAGTGAGCTTATTCTTATGGATTCAGGGTACAGAAGAGCAAGAAGGAACCACACAGCTCTATGTAGAAGACTAACTGGCTTGTTCTAGATGTTCTTTATAGCTCACCTAATAAGAATGTTTCTACCACAGAATGTTTTATTCACAGAATTTCTTTTTTAAATAAAGGGAGTGAGGTTAATTTTTAGGGTAGCAACAGGAAGCATGGCTATGAACTGTTAGAAATTCCTTCCTTTTCTCTTTCCTAGTTCATTTTATCTATGGGCCACTGGATCCTATAAACCCCTATCCAGAGTTTCTGGAGCTGTACAGGTGAGTCCTCCTCAGAGGCCTTTGCTCTCTTAGTATTTCATCCTGACAGGGTTGTTGGCACTAGCTATTGCCTCTGGCCTCACAGGAAACATACACTAGCTAGACCAGTTAGGGATCAGAAATGTTCTTCTCACCAAAGTGGAGAGAGCCAAGAGATTTAGTTTCAGATTCTCTGGATTCATACATCCTGTTCTCACTGTGTTCTGCGGTTGTTAACAAACGTCTTAAGGAATGTGTCAGTCTGGCTGTAAAGCCAGCTCCCTGACCTCGACTATGAACAGCTAACTATGAAAAATGTTTTCATCGGTTGTTGCTCCCTCAGGGTACTTATTCAGAAGGTGCTGGAATATGAAGTCTTGACTACCATGTAAGAGTGCTCCATACCTTCATATGCCCCAGTAGATACAATCTGGCAGTCACAGCTTGATTATAATTTTAAGCCATCTCCTCATGAGATTAAGGAAGGTTCTTTGTTTATCTTTGCTTGGGCAGTGAGTTGCTGAGTGAGCCACGTGTTGATGCTTCTCTAAGGAGCTGAAAGTCATGTTTTGAGGACTGTTACAGAAGTGTTGTATTTGCAAGATGTTGTCTGTTGTGTTCTGAACAATTGAAACCAGTCTAAGTGGAACTGGCAAGTTTATCTGGCTAAGGTATAGTTCCCAAGTAGGAGATGAATGAGCTCTTTGTTGGCTTCCTCCAATGTGGTATGTCTACACGGGCATTTATGGGGCTTCCCATGCTTACACCCTCTCATCCTCCAGCCTTAAGTTCACCTCCATGCTATTCTCTTCCACTAGGAAAACGCTGCCGCGGTCCACAGTGTCGATTCTGGATGACCACATTAGCCACTACCCACAGCTAGAGGATCCCATGGGCTTCTTGAATGCATATATGGGCTTCATCAACTCCTTCTGAGCTGGAAAGAGTAGTAGCTTCCCTGTATTAATTACCTCCCCCATTCTCGTATCTGTGTGTATTCCACTTAGAAATGCCCAAAAGAGGTCCTGGCAATCGAGTACTATTCTCTCATAAAAGTCCATTTTATTACATTGGTGAACAAACTATAGACAATAGGCAGCAGAAATGCTAAGGATGACATGATGATCCATCTCTCATTCTCTAAGGGTGACATGATAATCCTCCCCTCATTCCTGTGACATCTGACCAAGTATGTGTTATTAGAACATTCTGATGAATAAGACTTCTCAATTATGCAGAAAGGAAGCATTGGGCATTCTTAAATAACAACAAAACAAACAAACAAACCCACCCTCGATTTTGTGGACTTTGCTGAAATATTTAGAGATGCTAACTTGTGGCCCAAACCTAATTGGGACCTGCAGTAAAGCGTGAGGGAGAAGCTGCTTGCCTCCCTTCAAACCCTGTTCAGCACAGCTTATGAGAAGGAGTGTCATGTCACACCTTACATTTACTCTCATCAGATGCTTCTAATCATAGACATTTTGTTCAAACAGACCAATGGCTTAGGGGCTGGGGATGTAGCTCACGGTAGAGCACCTGCCCTTGGGTTCAGTCCCCAGCACTGCTCCCCCACCCAAATACTCATCAAACAAAGACATCATTGGCGTAAACGATACAGCATTCGGAATATGCTTTTAGGACTGATTTGCATACTTGGGTATTAAAACAGTTGGCCCTTACTTGCTAGAGTAGAGAACCTCATCACACATATAATTTGTGAATAAACAGATTCAAATTATTTACAGAATTCCCTAAAACCACAAGGTATTAACCAGTGCATCTGTGCCAGAGATTTACTGTTCCTGGCAAGGAAATCCCAGCTGGACAGTAAATAACGGCCTGCCTCCTCGCATCAGTGCTTAGGTGCATGTTCCTCCAGAGCTGAAGTGGAGGGGAGGGGCCACCGTAACAGCCCAATGTCCACTGACTCCTCTTAGGATGGCTGCTTAGCGTCCATCCCACTGGCCGTTCAGAAAGGCTTTCTCATGTAACTCAGCAACTGCTGCACTGAGAGACAGGCAGATGCCTAAGAACAAATGCTTATGAACAAATGCTGAGAGACTAAGAGCAAATGGTGCTGAATACTTTTTAAGCCACAGTTTTAACTGTCTTGGTTAAAGCAGCATTATTGATTATTTTAAAATCATTTTTTTTAAATTAGGAATTTCAAGTATAGCAACTTTGAAACTGGAATGAATGAGTGTTTATTTTCTATTAATAAAAACAAACTGTGACAAAAATGGATTCCGGCTTCCCCTCCCCCTCCACCCTTCTGGGATAAAATTTTCCAACATTGCCAAGAGTTTTCATCCATGAAATAAAAGCATATAATGAAGCCAAGCAGCTGTAGAATAGCATACGTGGTATCTGGTTTTCAGATCACGCAAAGCTGCACTGTCACACCACAGCTGAACAATGAGACAGCGAGAAGGGAGTAAACACTGAAACCCATGCACAAAGACAAACATTTGCTGGGTCTGCTGGCTCAGGGCCAGACACTGGATAAGTGTGATTCTGGGAAATTCATGCTGGTAGCCTCGAACCACCAATAGGGTGAGCACAGCCACAGCACCTTTAACAGCAAGAACTTATCCCACAGAGGCCAAGATAACATCCACAGGTGTTCTCTCTCTGCTTCTCACGGTCACCTGCATGGTCACTCCATCTGCTAAGGCTAGCCTCGATCGCACCAGTAAGTCATAGCCACCTCTGTATATACCTGAGAGAAAGAAGTTAGGAAAAGAATGTGAAGAACTTCAAATAAGCTCCGACTAATGGAATTTATCATGTTTTGCTTGTACCTCCTTTCTATTATTTTAGTTTCACTTTTATAGAAGTTTACAGGAAACGAGTCCTACAAACAATCCTAATTTTTAAATGGTCACGTGAAAACCAGGTACATGGAAGGTATTGGGTATCACTGACAGTGTACTCAGGGATTGATGCTGGCATTTGTTAGAGACTGAAGTATTTTAGGTCAGATGTACCCCTAAAAGAATAACCTAAGGAGAACTTGTAAAATTAATTATTCATTTTGATTAGGTCTCAAATTGTTACATAATGAGATGTCAGACAACATCAGGGCAGGGAGTGCCTATCCATATCCCGTCCTTTTAAATTCCATACATTTTAGGGGAAAACTGATGGGAATCTCTTACCTGCCAGATAAAGGGAATGGGAATTCTTATTCTCAGGTACTTTGTCTGATCTCTCACATGGCTGCATGCCCAGAAATGTGATGATGTTGCTGACAGCCTCTGTTGAGAAAGTTGATGTGACAGCATTAGGAAAGTTAAACATGAGGGTCTGCCTCTGCTCCAGCAAGTCCTGGGAGTTGCAGGTGCACAGAGCTGTAGACGATGTAGAGGGAGGCTACCAGTCTAGAAGATGGTACCTAAAACATACTCAATAGAAAGGAGTTCCTTTGGAACTGCATGTATGCCTCCTGGGTTTTATATTGGTCCCAGGCAGCTCACTGGCAGCAAAACTCTTCTCACCTTCAAGGGTTTTTGTAGAGCTAAGAGCAAAGGTTTCTTCTTTCTCAAAGACGTCTCCCACCTCTTCCCAGGCGGCAGCAAAGTTAGGCTTTAGCACCTTCTGAATATGGTCAGACACAGTCACTTCAAGATCTTCCAGCTAGTGGGCAATAAGCAGGGGTCAGTAAATAAAAATCCTTTGAGTCTATAACAAAAATAGAAGGAACTGACCACTCATCATCATGTCTACAAACCATGCAAAGGGCCTGAAGGAAGTTCTTCATCACTAATGAGGCCTGGATGAGCCTGATGCTATAGGTTCTAGGTCAGAGGGGCAAGAGCCAAGTAAGTATAGGGTGAGTGCCAATGGCCCTTTGGTGCACAGCAGTCATACTGCCACATTTAGTCCCCTCGTTGAGGCCACTCCATCTGTCCTTTTTGTCAAAGCTTTTTAGTCTATGACTTGCTGATATTACAACCAACCAAAGATAAAGTTGCTGACATAAAACCAAAATCTACTTTATAAATTCAATCAAATTAAAAATGATGCAATTATCTTGGTTATTCCCATTAAAAGAGAATAAAGGTGAATTTCCTTGCTTTAGTTATAAAGCGCTCCATTTAAATTTTCTCTGGCATGACACAATTCTATTACAGAGAGGGTTAGTCTAGGTCCTCTGAGTTTTGTCAGCTGTTTCTAGAAAATGCTCTTGTGACAGAAGTCTTTAAATGTTGCAAAGGTGCAGAGTCTCTGCAGGGAAGACTCACCACATATTCATCATCATATCCATCTTCATCTGAGACTCCAGTGTTAGGGTCACAATCCCGGACTGTAAACTTCATGGTACAGCTAAAGGTGCCTGCAACTGGAGGGAAGAGCAGGCAAACCCACATGAGTGGACAGAAAAAGCACATGTCCATCATTACTGAGGAAGTACCATCTGTGTCCAGCATCGTGTTCCACATTCCAAGTGTTAACATATGCACACCCTGTTCTAAGGCAGGAGAGTTTTTGAAGCAGCTTGCAAGCTGGTTAGTCAGTTCACAAAGTATGATTTGGAAATATTTCTGTGCTGTAGACGACACAGAAGAGATGACCTGAGTACACTGTTTCTGTGTTGATGTGAAGAAAGCGGGGGAGACATTTTGGGGGGACTTTTTGTCATGCTGGTCAAAAGGGTCAATATTTTGAAAATTAATAGAACCACTCGATGCCTAGGACTCAAAGCAAAAACACAGCAAAGTATACAGATCATTAAATTAACACTGACCAAGTACAGGATGATCTCAGTGTTGTCTTTAGATAATTGTAGACTTATTGGATCTAGAGAGCACCAGAATAAACTCCTCTTAAGTCACTTTCAACCATCAGTGAGTTCATGAAAGTGAGGTTTTACTATTGGTAAAGTCTATTTCAAAATGAGAAAGCCAGTAAGCACTGTATGTCTCAGACTAAGAATTAAATAAGAAATGAGTAATAAAAAAACAATTTTGGAAAGTGAAGTTTTGATAGAGACAGGGTTTTCCAAATAGTTTGAAGGAGAGAATTTAGCCAGCATGAAGGAAAGGGGCCTATGGTCTAATCAGAGATCTGGAAAAGGCATATGTGTACAAAGTAACTAGAAATTGGAGCATTAGAAAGTTATTTGCGGGTATAAGCAGGAGAAGAAAGAAAGACTCAATTGTAAACATTTGTGATAGTATGGGCATTAAGAGGTATTTGTTCAGCATTAGAAAGTTATTTGCGGGTATAAGCAGGAGAAGAAAGAAAGACTCAATTGTAAACATTTGTGATAGTATGGGCATTAAGAGGTATTTGTTCAGTCTTCATCCATCCATCCATCCATCCATCCATCCATCCATCCATCCATCCATCCATCCATCCATCATCCATCTTTCTAACCCACTGACATTTAAGTAAAGGTATAAGGCAATGTGGTTAGACATGACCTCTGTCTCCAAAGCTGACTGTCTAGGAGTTAAGTTAGTGTGACTTTATATGTGATTAATCTATCCATGATACTATAACTCAATGCCATAGATTCTTTAGTATAAATTTTAACAGAGTGCTATATGGAATTGCAGGATTAAGAGCCTGGGGATAAAATAGAGACCAAACGAATGGTAGACTAGATTACAGCCTGGGGCAGATTGGTTGGGTTTTATGTAGAAGACAAGACAGAAGGCATTTAAAAGTCCTGAGGATGTGACATGTAGGAATGGGTTGAGGAAGAATGAGTGAGTTAACCCTTTGTGGCACATTTTTAATTGAATAATTTGGTCGATACAGTGAAGACTTGCAGCTAAATTGCCAAAAGTTGCATTAAAAGCCAATGTAGTAGTGCATCAATAAAGCCAGAGAAGAGACAGACACTGGGAGACAAAACAGGAGGCCAGCGGGGCAAAAACCAAACGGAACAAAGAAAAAAACCTCTGTTAAGGAGGCTTAAAAAAATAGAACATATTTTGAAAGGACTTGCTAAAAAGGAGAGTCAACTGCTAAGGCGATAAGTATGAAAAGAATACAGAATTGGGGGGAAAAAAGATCAATGCTGAAAGCTAAATAGGGAGAGGGGGTGTGCAGCTGGGCTGAGGACACAGTGTGTAGTAAGCACAAGTCAGGGTGGAAAGTTAGAGAAGCTAATCACTGAGGGGAAGACTGTGGACAAATAAGAAGAGATGCAGATCTGAAGAGGCCCCTAAATAGTTGAAGGAAGGATGTGCCCAGAGAGCAAAGATGAGAGGGTTGAAGGAATGGATCTGGAATAGGCCATGCAGAATGATTCACATAGGGTTAGACTGAGCTGAGTGAGTGTACAAAAGAAAAGGTGAATGGTGGGTGTTTACCTAGCAGAATGCGAATCTATAGCAATGCTACACACAGCAGGAGGGGCGCTGAAAACTAAGGCCTTTTCTAGGTTTAAGGAGGAACAACCGTATAGAATATCAACATTAAAGTTAAACCGCAGATGTAAAAGAGCCAGCACTAAGGAATGACAGACATAAAATGAAAGTTAAGACTATATTCTTGGGCCCCAAATCAGGAAGGAATGAAAATGAAAATGTAGATTGGAAGCAAAGGGAAGGAAAACATGTAAGAGGGCTAACTAGTATAGAAAGTGTAGAATAAAGAAATCAAATGCAAAGTCCTGTCAGAGCTCAGTGTGAATCTAACTGGTTACATCTGGGCATAGAGACCATGGTGAACAGCATGAGGAAGAAAGGCCTGAACAGGAAGGGTTGAAGGGAAATTGGAGGATTTGGTTGTTAAGGAAGGGAAAGTTTGTAATGACTAAGATGCCAGAGTGCTGATAGGAAGTGACTGATGACAACTTTATAGAGATAACAGGATTGCTTGGTTGAGGGTGTGGGCAGGTAGCTTGTCCTGAGAATAGATTATTGTTACAAGATGGCAAATGAATGAAGATTATGAGGAGGCAAATACATCTGAAGAATTCTGCATCCATGGTGACTGCAGTGGTATGGAAGTGGAAAGGATGACAGATACTTCGACGACATATGTTGATTATTGCATAGTGTGCCATTACAATTGCTGATATGATTTGTGGAGCTTGGCTGACTCTGAGTGACATGATACTTAGGAAATCTTGTGTGAAAGCATTGCAGAGGATACCGAAGTTAGAATCTGAGAAAGAAAAAAGGAAGTAGCATTTTGGGTGGAAGGACAGAGTGAGTATGGAGTGTAGGGAAGGGCATTATAGAGGGCCAAAATGAGGGGTGCTTAAAAATGACACCGTTGAATTTGTAGGAGTGAAATGTGTGTTAAGCTAGATTGTAACCAAAGATGGAGCAGGATGTGGCTATAGAACAGTGTTATGAAGGAGTATCATCTGGTATTCTTTTCCTGAATGGCATCTGAAGCAACCGATATGACCAACAGACTTAAGGATTGAGGAGTATAAATGGGATGGCTCTGAGTTATGGTCAATTTTAGGAACTCTCTGAAAGTCTAGACAACACCACAATTGTACTGAACATCATGATTAAGGAAGAGGAGAGAGACTGGAGACTGGGAGTTATCTGAAGGAGAGTTAACAGTAAGAGTGGCATGGGCAGATAGGTAATGGTATTTCCCAAAGTGGCATCTGTAAGACTGAAAGAATGTGGGTCTCAGGCCAGATGATAGATCATAAAGCCAGATGTAAAAATCAAGGTGCTGAATCAGGGAGGGAGTTCTAATTCAAAGGACTAGGAAGAGATGGGCTAGGATGAACTGGTAAAAGGGCACCAGGAGAGGTCTCTGGGTAGTTTGTCTCTAGGATGGATGAATAATACTGGAAGAGAGTGGCTGAGGATTATGATGAGAAGTCAACTCAAAAGCAAAACTTCATTTTTATTTCCAAGGAGAGGTGGGTACGAACATGTATGTAATCAGGCGTAGGAGTGCTATGTAGAGTGCTACACTCAAGGTTCTGTGCTGTAGGAAGGCGCTGTGTCTTCTGTTTTGTTTCTGGAGAGGGGACATACACTAGAGAGAACCCGGCTAGAAAGTCCTATTCAAGAGGAACACAGGTGGTGTCTACAAGAGGGGCTGATGCTATTTTAGGACAAGATAGAGTGGTGAAGAAAGGAAGGGGAAATGACAGGTACCGATTGGAGGGAGAAACCCCTTGTTTGGGTCAAAAGACATGAAGAAGAGAGGTTAATGCCCTGAAGGAACTTTGTAACCTAGAGAATGATTCTGAGGTGACATGGTAATAATGAAAGAGACCATGGAGCCATAGAAATTTCCAGAACTAAACTCTGATCACAGTGATGAGTGTACAGAAAGGAGAAAAGGAAGGAGCTGGAGTAAACTTTCTCTTGATGCCCCCCAGTGTGGAGTTTTTAACTAAAGGGCTTGGTAGAAGGAAAGGCAAGAACAGTGTTTCTTAAATGTGTTACAAGTATAAAGTCAGACCTACTGCATGAGAAATCCAGGAGGACTCCGCAGGACAGATGAGGCATCAGAATGTTTAAGGTTTGGTAGGGGAGAGACAGGAAAGTTTGAGGTTGGATTGGCTGGGGTATTAAGATTTATAGAAGCAGTTGGGGGTGAGAAAAGAGAGACACAATCAGGAAAACATATACATGGGGGTATGTGCACTTGAATGGAGATGAAATACATGAATTGAGGTTCAGAGTGTCAAATACGAAAGGTCAGAAAGAGGAATGCAAGTATTACTAGCACTCATTCTAAAAGCAATTAATATGTAAAGCTCTTGTACACACACATACTCACACTCACACACACACACACTCACTCACACATACTAACACACTCACACCATGCAGTTAGGAAGCCTGGTACCAGTGGGTTACACTCAGATACTAATGCTAATGATTCCTTTGTACATAATCCTGCTTGGGGTAGCATAGTTTTTTTTTTGTTTTGTTTTATGGCCATAGTACTTCTTATTAGTAGGCTCATTTCCTATATCAAGGACCGGAAAAAAAATGCTGTGAAATATTCCTGTCATCTTCCCAATAATATGGGTAAGATAAGAAACTCATCAGTTGGTAAGTAAACATTTTCAAAATATTTATTTGTGTTGTATGTATTTAGTATGTAAGTTATAACAACTTGTTACTTATGTTAAAATATCACTGTTTCATCCTATAGTATGGGATCATTTTGTACCACATAAAAGTGTGTCTTCTATTGAAAACTGCATTTAAAATAATTGGACAACTGTCCTTAAACATGGTTTATATTGTAAAACATTCTTAAAATTTTCATAAGCATTTAATGATGGTTGTGAAAATGCGTTTTTCCCCCCCCCAAAAGGGAGGTGGATGAAGGCTTTTTAAAACTCAAAATGCAGTGTGTTTACTATAAAAAGTGTGTGGGGGGTAATGATAATTGCTGGTATTTACAAAGCAGCTGAGTCAGAAAGAAGGTGGTGTAGAGAGGTAGTTGTTAAAGGAAGAAAGGAAAAGAGATCAAGTGATAACTAAAAAGAGGACTTGGGAGAAAGGGGTAATGTACAGGAAAGTGTGCACACAAAGAAAGATACAGTTGATAGAAAATTTAGGAATTTGTGTGTGTGTGTGTGTGTGTGTGTGTGTGTGTGCGTGTGTGCATGTGTGCGTGCCTGCAGGAGTCTTACCAAGGAACAAATAGACAACCAGAGCAACTGAGCACAGTGTAGAAAAAGCAGAACTATGAAAACAGATTGAGTGATGAATGTGTAGCAAAAAGAGGTATATGGATAAGAAATTAGCTGTCTTCTACCACAGGCAGTATAGGAAAAAGTAAATAGAAAAAAAAAAAGCAAGGTGAAACTTACCATTACATGGGAAAGACCATGGGTAGATGACATGTTGGAAAAAAGTCTTGGCACTGTAACTACACCAAAAGGGATAGCATGTAGGTGGAAGCTAAGTACTCTATGGGTTTGGTAACTCTTTGAGTAAATATAGGGCTAGGCTGAAAAGTGAGGTTAGCAATGAACAACAAAATCCAGTCACTAGAGTGAGAGTATAAGTCAAGAAAGGGACTGGAGAACTAAAGTGAGACCAACACACTGCAGGGAAGAGAGAGTGGAGAGAAGTAAGTGGGATGGCAATCGCGCACAGCAAGATAGAAAGGACTATGTAGTATATTTACACTAAGAAATGAACAAAGAGCTGAATTAAGCCGGGGAAAAGACCCCAGAGAACACAGGTGAAAGAGCATATCCATGCCAAGAAAGCATGCTTGATGACACCAGAAAAATGTTAGAAAGCAGTGACAGAAAAGGATGGAAGGGGAGGTAAATTTAAAAATAAAAGGGAAAACAGCACTGGTCCTCTAAAAAAATAATTTCAAGAGAAAGAAAGTGGAAATGAGGAGATAAAATATGGAGCATCTAGTCAGACTATGGTTGGAACAAGTTGTGTGTGAGGACTAAACAGGGGAGGAAGGCGTTGGTTCTAAAAGGAGGGCCAAGGTCTATACAAGACATGGGAAGCACTGGGATTCTTGAGCCAGGACACCAAATGGTCACCACCAGAAAGCTAGGGACACAGAATGGGACAGCAAAGGCCAGGCAGGACAGGTGGCATCCACAGCAGTGATTCTCAACCAGGGGTGGGGGGGGGGGTGGGGGGTTCCACCCGAGGGGGGGGAGGGCATGGCCCCCAGGTGGCCTATCAGAACATCAGAGGCAGAGCAGCGATCTGCTCACAAAGAGTAACACCACCCAGGAGAGGTTCTGATAGGCTGCTGGGGGGCCATGCGCCCCTGGGTGAGAATCACTGGTGGAAGGGGGAGGGGATGGCTACAGAGAAGGAAGGGTGACAGATGGAGCCTGTGAGTCCTCCAGATGGGGGCAGCAGAGTCAGGACTGTCAGACTTGGGGGGAAAAGTCTGAGGTGGAGGAGGGAGGCTGACAGACGGATGAGGCACAGATGCGATGGCTGAGTGCAGACTTGAGACAGTCAGTCTGCTGCAAAGAGGACCAAATGTGGTGAAGCTGTGGGTGTGCAGAGTCAGAGGTCCACAGAACACACGAGAGCAGCACAGAGGGCATCGGAAGGAGCTCTGGACACTGAGGGTGTGATATGGAGCAGAAGAGATTACAGCAAGAGAAAGGATCAGGGATCAGTTGGTCCACAGAAGGGCAGAGGAGGTGAGGGGTTTGGAAAGAATGAGAGCACGGAAGAAGACCTGGTCCACTGGGTACAACGGAAGTGGTGGAAGGAGGGAACAGCTAAGAGGGCAGAGAGCACAGAGAGCTCATGGAAAGGCACTGTACCACACCAAAGAGGAGCCAAGAGGGAGCCAGGGGAGCCAAGAGTGGGAGGAAGAGAGTTTGGGTAGGCCAGACAGAGCAGGACGCAGAGATTGGGAAGGCACCTAGAAAACTCTAGGACTACCAAGTTCATGAAAGACATGGTCAAATGATAACAGCTTTGAGGGGAAGTACCAAAGGGAGGAAACAAGTATGTCTAATGCAGTAATAACTAAGTAAGTAAAACTAAGATGGTAATCTCAGGACCATGGAGATGGACTCATGCACACCAAGTCTAGAATGTGGTTAGTGAGCTTATAAATGGTGGAGGGGCATCTGCCGATCAATGCTGGAAGACATTTTGTATGGTTAACTCGATCCATTCTTCCTCTTTCCAGTGTGACTAGAAGTCTTTATTGGCTGACATAGAAGGCAAGGTGGGATGGGAGGTTGACATCGGAACCCGTTGGGCGTTGTGAGTTTATCATTGGAGGTAATAGAGGTAGACAAAATGGCAAAGCTGGAAACCAGGTCTAGGAGTGGAGAGCTTTGGGGCTGTGTGTGGGCTTCTATTCTGGCTCAACTGATCCAAAGGGCAAGAGAGGACATGGAATGACAGTACTTAAGAAGAGGGTCTCAAAATGGGTGTGTGAAGGCAGTATACCAAGACTGAAAGGAGAAACAAGTGAAATTGGACAGCCTATGATCAATGGAGGCTCTTTCAGGGGAAGAATGGAAATGATAGGAAGAAAGGAGAAAAAAAGAAGTTTTGTGGGAATTTGCTTCATGGGATGGGAAGAAAGAGGCTGAACTATTAGTAGGGGAGAAGTGGAGAAAAGCTACTGAGAAAAAGAAAAGTTGGAACCAGTGGAAAAGCTGGTAATCAAAGTCCTTGAAGAGAAAGCAGGGTCAGGAGGAGAGGAGAAGGGGGTGAGCAGAGAGAACGGGTTAAAGAAGTGAGTGAGTGAAGAATGAGGAGAGAGTACATAGACCAGAGAAGAATGGCGGAGACATGAGACAGAGTCTTCTCTTGGCTAAGGAAGAGAAGGAAGGCAGCAAGAACAGGGGTAGGGAGAGTTTGGGTGAGGAAGAGAAGGAGGTCAGCTATGGAAGCAGGTGGAGACGAGGCACTAGGCTGGACAAGCTGCACAGAGTACGGCGGAAGTGGCACAGGCTAGGCAGCAACCACAGGCTGGACCAAGGAGAAGGAAGTGGGTCCAGGGTTACAATGAAGGCAAGCATGTGACACACAAGGTGGGGGGGGCACAAGAGGAGATAAGAGAGAAAAAGAAAGGAGAGGGAGATGGAGGGACGGAGGGAGGAAGAACAGAAAAGGGATATAAAGTAAATGTCAGAGAAAAATGTGAACACCATTGCCAAGGATGTAAAGTTTTGGCCAGGTTCTTGGGATCTAGTAGGGAAGGGTGGGTGGATTTAAGATGGGGTTTGGGATAGGAACAGAGTGAAGGTAGGCTGGGCTAGCCAGGAGGGCAGGGTTGGGAACAGTAATGTTGGAGGTGGGAGTTGGATTGAGGACACAGGCCTAGAGATTCTATTTTGAATGATGAGGATGATTAATGCAAGTTGTAGAATCTACTGATCTTACAAAGAAAAGAAATGGAGCAGCTTTAAGTATAGTAGGAGGGGGGCAAAAGCAAGGGGCCATTTTAACAGGAAATGAGAGGTTTGCATAAGAAAGCAGTATGCTCTACAAGGCTCCTTTTGTCTCAGCAGAGACAGAGGAGTGGAGGTTTAAGGAAAAGAGATGAAAGTCTAGAGGACCAGAATGGAATCAAAGACACTGACATAAGGGTGGGAGAGTACGATGGGTAGGGATAGGGCGTGTGAAGGAATAAACACAGGAAGGAAGGAGGTGTTTGGAAGAGAATGTGAGTCTAAATGAGAAAGGAAAGCACGGGGATTCTTGATCCAGGACACCAAATGGTCACCACCAGAAAGCTAGGGACACAGAATGGGACAGCAAAGGCCAGGCAGGACAGGGGCATCCACAGCAGTGATTCTCAACCAGGGGTGGGGGGGTTGGGGGGTTCCACCCGAGGGGGGGGAGGGCATGGCCCCCAGGTGGCCTATCAGAACATCAGAGGCAGAGCAGCCTGGGTAACACCACCCAGGAGAGGTTCTGATAGGCTGCTGGGGGGCCATGCGCCCCTGGGTGAGAATCACTGGTGGAAGGGGGAGGGGATGGCTACAGAGAAGGATGGGTGACAGGTGGAGCCTGTGAGTCCTCCAGATGGGGGCACCAGAGTCAGGACTGTCAGACTTGGGGGAAAAGGTCATGTCAGTGAGGGGTGTCGGGGAGCAACTGGATGCTGTGCAGAAGGAAGGGTGAGCAGATGAGAGCCGTGTGAGGGTTTCCTGTCAGGGGCAGGGAGGGCAGCACCAACACTGTGGTTCCTGCTGAGGACTGAGGTGGAGGAGGGAGGCTGGCAGAGACGGATGAGGCACAGATGCCATGGTGTGTGTGTGTGAGTGTGTGAGTGTGTGTGTGTGTGAGTGTGAGTGTGTGTGCGAGTGTGTGTGTGTTTGTGTGAGTGTGTGTGTGTGTGTCTGTCTGGTTAGTTCATGAGGAGAGGGGTAGGGGAACTCAGGGAAGATGAATGCTAATGGAGAAGGAGGAAAAGGAGTCATGGACTGTAGTGCCCATGAGGAGAGCTGTCAGCCCACCAGCAGGTCAGAATGGGGTGGGCACTTCTATGTGGGTCTGGGTGTCCTGTGAGGGAACAAGAATGAGGGCAGAAGACAAAGGCATGCATGGACAGGAACACAGCAGAGAATTAAAGGCCCATTTCTCCTGTGCATGTTTTCAGAAGAATGTGAAAGGCAATGTGATGTCACCTTATGCCATGGATGAGGATGTTGGGAGGATCCCATTGTTCAGGCCACGAGGAGGCAAACTCTGAGTGCCTAGGTATAGGAGTAGAGTGGTACAGTATGACTCCAACTTAGTGAATGCATTGATACACTGGGTACCAACAGTTCGGGAAGGGAGGCTCATGAAAATGTCTACTAGATCAGCTAGAGGATGCATAGACAGTAGCTCAGAGCATAGTACTTCATGAAGCACTAGGGAGAAAAGCAGAAGAAATGGTTAGTAGGCCAGAAGTATGAGGTTCAAGGTTTTCAACCCAGGGGAGACCTGTGATGGTTACAATACTCGTTTGGCAAGAATGAGAGAAAGCACAGAATGAAGGAGCCCAGCATGAAGGAAAGAGAAGGCGTGCTGAGAGGATTAATAAGGGCATTACATTTCGGGGGAGATGGCAAAGACCTTGGAGATGGGAGTGACCAGGGAACACGCAGAAACTTGGTCCCATGTGGCACAGCACGTAAGGAAGGCCAGGGAAGATGAAGGACACGGTGAAGAGAAATGTGCAGCACTGGAGCAGACGAGGCCACAGCAGAATGAGGGAGGAGAGGTCACGGCCCTGACAGCATAAATGAGGAAAGGCGGAGGGAAAGCATCTAGGTGTATCATTCATTCTCATGCAAACACAATGTTAGCGGTGAATCTCAGCAGCAGATGGGT